CCAAAAAAAAATTCTACTATTCTGCACAGAATAAAAAAAAAAAAAAAAAAAAAGTTCTTGAGGGCAGGACAGGGAGGCGGATTTCCGCTTCAAATTCTCCTTAGTTGTGACCCTAGCTAGAGAGAACTGTGCTTTATAACAGGTACACAAGTGACAAAATGAAGAGTAAACATACCTGTAATGACTCCCGGTGCTTGTGCTGCCATTACAGCCTGCGGCAATGCCCCTAACGGCTGGGCCAGGGTCAGTGCTGGAGATACCAGCCCAGGGGTTGCCAAAGTGCCAAGAACTGCAGCTCCTGCCACTGCTTCCTGTGAGAGAAAAAAAAAAAAAACTTGTGCTGCCATTACAGCCTGCGGCAATGCCCCTAACGGCTGGGCCAGGGTCAGTGCTGGAGATACCAGCCCAGGGGGTGCCAAAGTGCCAAGAACTGCAGCTCCTGCCACTGCTTCCTGTGAGAGAAAAAAAAAAAACAACAAACCCCCCCAAGTGTTAATTCTGCATCAAGAAGTCATACTATGGGTGCATTCAGCTGAGACTTGGCTTTTTTCACACCTAAGAAATACCAGATATATAGGTTCTGAGGATGACAGCTCTCCAGTGCTACTGTAAAAGAAAAAAAAGTATGCCATCCAGCCCACCAGAGAAATGCAGAAACTACAGGACACCAAGCCTTGGAAGAAAAACATTCTCTTGCAACTCAAATTTCACCCATCCTCTCAAGCTGCTAGATCAGTTATTGAATGAAAGACACCAAGGGATTCAAGACATTGTTTAAAAGATGCAGGTGATTCCAGAGCAAGAAGAATCTCTAATTGTTTTCACCTTCTACAGAAATAAAGCTTTTACCGATGCTAAAGAATGTGATCCATTTAAAGACTGATGGGAGCTCCCATCCCATCCCCTCTGATGACAGCACCAGGGCTCTGGGGCCACGTAACAAACCAGGTGAGGGAACTCTTGCACCTTAAGTTTTTCCTAAGTGATCTGGTGGAAGGTTAATCCTTGTCTGATTCAAGGAACACTGTAGTCAAACGCACTACTGCAAGCACAAGGGACAGGGCAAGGGAGAGCACAATACTGCTATTTTTCAAAAGCTGCACATTTTTAGATTAGTTTAAACCAAAAATCTTATCTCTCTAGTCTTCATCCTAGGTGCAGACAGCAACACAGCACTGAAATTGGTCTTCATGACCATAGCAACTGCAAACGATTTTCACATTAGTAAAGTTCTCAATGAGACAATCATATAACTAACTTTTGCCACCACCATTTTTACTGGTGTCCTGGTTTGGGCTGGGACAGAGTTAATTTTCTTCCCAGCAGCAGGCACAGTGCTGTGGTTTGGATTTAGGATGAGGGTAACGCTGATAACACGCTGATGGTTCAGTTGTTGCTCAGTGCTGCTTATGCCAGGCAAGGACTTCTCAGCTTCCCCTGCTCTGCCAGGGGCACAAGGAGCTGGGAGGGGGCACAGCCAGGAGAGCTGACCCCAACTGCCCCAAGGGCCATTCCATACCATACGGCGTCATGGGCAGTATGGAAACTGGGGGGGTTGGCCGGGGAGCAGCGATCGCTGCTTGGGGACTGGCTGGGCATCGGTCGGCGGGTGGTGAGCAGCTGCATCACTTGTTTTTTCCCTAGGCTTTGTTTCTGTCTCTCATTGTTCTCCTTTTCATTACAATTTTTACTATTACTATTATTATTTTGTTTCAATTAGTAAACTGTTATCTCAACCCACAAGTTTTCTTACTTTTGCTCTT